CCCACCGTAGTCCTGGTTGAATCCGACGAAGAGGAGCTCGTTCTGCTGCTCGCGGCTCAAGTTCATCGAGGACATTCGCTGTTCTTTTGACAGTACATGCTGGGAAGGGTCGAAGAAACACATGCCTGGATTTCAGTCCTATGATTGGCTAAAATAAAATCTAAACAGCCAATCAGTGATCGTTGAGTGCCTGTGGGTGGCCAACTTGTATTCAAAACGTGCATATTATTTGACCAGTTTGACGCAGATCTCAATGTATTTTAAATTCCTCGTTCAATTCATATGATTCCGAGATTCATATCCGGATAGATTATCCGGAACCAGATCTGGTCCCATCTGGTGTAGCCAATTAGGCGGCGCTATAGTGCGGAGTGTTGATCCGTCGTCGATACGCCACGAACAAGATCGGCGATGCTCGCGTCGTCGGTGGGCACGCGAAGTCTGCGCTGAGATTGCGCAGGTTGGAGTACTTTGAGCGCATGCTGGATTCGCTGAATGCGTGGATCCATCCTCTTTTCACGCTGACCCCGCTCTACTGTTGGTTCCAACGAGTCGAGTGCTTCCTGGAGGCGCATTGCACAACGTGTACCCCTGGACCAAAGCCGCCATCCGTCATGCATGTAGCCGTGTGTTGCGGTGTCTTACACTGGGCTGATGACGAACTCTCCATCTTCAAATAGCGTCGTGTTGTCGAGGGTACGTTTGTCTGAAGGCAGACGTCGCACTGTCCCCGCCGAGAATACCTTTCGCCGCACCGCCCGCAACTTCTTTCCTTCGGCAGGATCACACTTAGCAAGGGTAGAGGAATTGGAAGGAGATGATGGCGACGCCGTGGTTGGTCTCTACGAGATTCATTCGCATGTATCAGGTCAACGAATTGCATTTCCTTGCCTACGCCGTCGCATGCCGCGAGAAAGCGCGTTGCCTCTGCGTGGACGTCGATTTTGCCCTGAGAAGTCACTAAGCCCTGTTGTACTTGACAACGTCATCTTACATTGGCCACAGCATGCCGAAAAGTGAGTCCCCATGCCACGTTATCATCCAGATGGGGATTCTAACATGACAGATCAGTGCCTTGGAGCAGATACGTGCGGCAGTACATCTTGAGTGCCACGAATAAGCGTGCCCACCAGGCGCTCTTCGCTCAGGGCCCATACGCGAACGAATCCATCCCAGCCACACGTGACTACGTGCGACGCCGTCTGGTTGGCCGCATTGCACGGCTACGACGACCCGCCCTCGGTTAACAAGTTCCTGAGGATGTTGCGCAAACGTACGTATAGGGTGCAAAGGGCGTCGATATGGGCTGACCACGACGCATCGAGCGACACTTGTCCTTCTAACGTGTACTCGTACTGGTGAGTGCTCCGTCTACGCCGGCGCCGGGACTTGGCGACAAGAGTCTGTTTGGTTTGCATGAGCTCCTGCGCCGTCCGTCTCGAGTCACTGATGTTGGTATGGTTGTCGTCTTCCGAGACTTTTTCAAAGAGCCCGTCGATGCGCCAGCATGCGACGTTGCCTAGAGGAGTGTTGAATGCAGGCTTGGACGGATGCAAGAGGGCCGACGGACGTGCCTTCTTCATCACCCGTGACGAGCGTTCGTGGCAAGCACCATGCAATATTGTGGATCGTCGCTGGCGACGCCGTGCGGAAGAGGCAGTCGTAACGCAGCGGATGTGGCGGGATCGCATATAGTTCGAGGCCACCGTGGTCGTTTGCGACGGCAAAGATCGGATGCGGCTCCAGAAACACGATCGCTGTGATGCCTGTGTGCTCGCCGATCGGTCGCGACGACGACGCGAGGGGCTCGCACTTGGAGCCGTGCCACACGCAAAAGTGGCCATCCATCGACGCGGTCACGATCACGTTATACTGATGCGACACTGCGACGCACCCGATGTCGGCTGCGGCGTAGCCCAGCCTGGGCACGTGACGTTATCATGCCAACCAAACTCACCGAGACGACGCACCCGTGCCACGTGTCATGGACCATCTACCCCAAACGCCACACGTCAACCAAGCACTGGCACACATCGGAATCGTACGAGCAAAAAGTCGACAAAAGTGAGAGTCGTAGCGGGCGATTTGGACGATGCCAACAAGAGTTTGGCCAGGTAGGATTCGTTGCGCTGGCACGGTCGGTGGTTGAGCTTCACCACGGCGTCGAAAAGGGGCGCGGCATGGCTGAATGCGGTCTCGCCGGTCTTGTCCGGGTCGTACACGGCGAAGATGCGCTTGAGGCAGTCCAGCGCATAGTCCGAGTACATGGCTTTTGTCGGGTGCGGGACAAAGTAATCGTGTGGCGGATGGACGTCCTACCATTACTCGTGAACCACGATTCGATGAACGGTGACTACCAACGGTACGACGCGCGTCGCCGGGTGGCCATTCACGCCATGCCAATGGTTCATTGTGTTGAGCGGAGCCAGCGTTTCGGCATCCGATACGACGCATGTCCCATCTAGTGACGCCGATACGACTCGTTGGGCCACCGACCGGTCCCGGAACTCCACTAGGACTAGCGACGACACCTGGACACAAGTCAGACCCTCTTGCATGTAGTCGACCGTCCACGCACCTCCCTTGAATGGACCGCACGATTGCGCACAAGTGTGCCAGACACTACGTTGAGGCACTACAGCCACCCATGTCACGGCCGACGCAGACGGAGACGTCGTACGTAAACTCGGCCAGTTTGGGTCCCAAGATATCCAATGGACCCAGGGCCGTAGCATCCTGCCGAGATGGTCGACGGAACGAGCGCGCGCAAGTTGTACGTGAGCTGACCGGTCTGCGCATTCCACACACGGACGTGGCTACAACCCAAGGTGACGAGAGGGCACCAAGCTGTCGTCCGCACCGTCCAGCCGTCGTGAGGATCGTCAGCGTGGACGGCATGAACAGCGCCATGCTCGGCGTTTCTTTTTCCTACGACGTTGGAGCACCATGCTGATTTCCACGAAAGCACAAACGTACGAGCGCGTTTTCGTCCGAGGCATTCCAGAGCACGGCGTCGTGAAAGTCGACGCGAGACGAAGCAAGGACGATCCGATTCAAGTCGGGGAGGTACACCATGGCGCTGCCAACGCGATGAGGACCAGTCCTTTCAAAGGATCGGGACACCTCGTGGATTTGTGGTTGGACGACGCCGACGAGAGGTGCTTATCCACTGTCGACAGCGTCTGTATGCACCGATACGTGCGGAGGTCCCAAATCTTGACGAACCCAGCATCATCCACCGAGTGCACTTCTGGCGAGCCGTCCACCCACGTCAGCCCGACCACTTGGTGGTGATGGCCTACAAAGAGCGTGAAAATAATGGGTCGACATCGTGGCACGAGCGGTCGTGTCCCATGTACCCTTGAGCGTCGCAATGCTGGACTCGACGTAAGGATTCCAGAGCTACGTGCATCGTGAGGGAGCCTCCATGTTGGATGAAGCACGCACGCGGACGTCATGGTCGAGGCCGGCGCTGATGATGTATCGATAGGCGAGGGAGTACTTGACGCACGTGACACCAAGTCGATGGCCGACGAGCTGGTGGAGCTGTTTGTTGGAACTGATGTCCATGATCGAGATCGTCGGCGCCAACGATGCCACAACAGCGTTTGCGCGAGGACTGAGGAACGTCATGTCGGTCACGCTGTGCTTTGTCTTGAGGTTCACCGTCCCCATGCACTCCAACGTGTCGCAGTTCCACGCTCGGATCTAGCCGCAAGGACTGGACGTGAGCACGGCTCGATGACAGCACCCGCGACCCATCCACCAGCAATGCACTGCACGGACAACGACACTTGCAACGACTCCCGTACCAGTCCCGTCGTGCTGGCCGAGTACAGCAGCTTGTGCTGGTCGTTCCACCGTAAGACCGTTTGCACTTCTGTCGTCGGCAGTTGCTAGCCACACGTGAGTGCGTTGAATCGTCGAGCGCGATGTGGTACCTGTCGCAGCAAGAGCTCGCGGCCGTCCCAGAAGTTGATGGTGGTGCTCGTGGTGCTCGCGACAATGTAATCCCATGGAGGAACGGTGGTTATGTCAACCAAGTGGCCTCTGTGCTCCATGAGGGTGGTGGTTCCCCGGGCGAGGGACATGCGTACCCTGTGCAGGGAGCTGACGTTCCAACGAGTTGACCATGGCGGCTTGCATCGTACACTTGAAAGACCTTGCTTTGCTGTTCAAACCCGATGAAGCACTGGCTGTCATTTGCTTGAATCTACGTGAGTGCGTCAGAGCCATCCATTCGTCCAAACGTACGAGTGCCTCCATGCCTCGATTCACCACAATGGGCGTCGAGATTGCCGTCTTGTTGTACTACCGTCATGCGCAGTCCGTCGTGAGGTGTGGAACGAGTTGTCTTTGGTGCTAGCTCGCTTGTGTCCATCGGTAGCGCACCTCGTGGAGCCCGTCGACAAGCAGCTGCTCCGAGTAGCCCCGCATGGACTCCAACACGAACGACGTGAACTCGGTCCATGTGATTACGCCGTCTTCGTCGTGGTCGATCTTGTGGAAGAGGTGGCAGAGCTGCGTCACAGTCGCCTCCATCGACACGGTGCTCGTCCCGTGGATGTTGGCCACAACTGTCGCGAGAAACTCGTCCTGGGACATGCGTTGGCTGCCCCCCTCCAAGGCGTGGAGAGCCGACACGTTGTCCAGGTCTACGTTGCAATCACGACCACCCACGTTTGAGCCAACTACGGAGACGTACCCAGTCGCAGCAGTAGCGCCGTCATTTCCTCGGCGTCGCTCGCCACGTCGCGATTCTTCTGCTGGGCTTGCAAGCTGCATCGCCGCAGCGGCGTTACGTGCATGGGAATGTCAGTCCCGGCGCGAGTCTTCTCGCGCATGGCTCGAGACTTCACCGACTCAGGGATCTATTCCCAAGACGGCGGTGATCACATGCATCGACGTCGCTGTGCCTGAACCTTGGGAACATAAGAGGGACGGGAAGGCAGCAACGAGTCGAGCGGGACGTGGTTCGTGTGGTCCAGAATGCGCTGCTGTCTAAACTTGGCATCCACCTGGGACGGCACTGCATGCCGTGTATCTGGTGAAAACACGCGCCGTCGGTCGCGAAGAACTTCGACGCCATCCGCGGTGCGCGTCGTCATTGCCGCCGCCGCCGTTTCAAAACCGTTTTTATTCCAACAATTAATCGAGTGTCGATTGTCTGCCTCCCTGGCGGCGCAACCTCCGCTCGACGTCGCGCTGGTACTGCAGCAAGGCAGCGTCGATTTCGTCGGGAGATGCGACTGCCGCATCCTCTATCGAGTCTGCACTCGAAGCAGATGCATCGTGTTTCGGTGGCGACGACGACGCGAGGACCATGTGAGCCGCTATGTGCGTACGAGCATGGGCTGCCTGTGCATACACAGACCTCCGCAGCACTCGAACGTCTTGGCATGCTTGAGCTAGGTACGGCTTTGCATTCGGTGTCATGTGGACTCCTTTCCGAAAACCCAATGGCAATGTGGCCGAGCTGTGCTTCGCGCGGTGTGCCGATGACAAATGTCTCGCTGGTGGGGCGCAAGATTGCACGGGGGGGCGCCATGCAGGGTCTGGGGTCGGTGGGGGGCACCGGCGTGGGGACTCGGGGGAAACGATCGTCTGGGGCACGGCAGGTCTGCGACCGTCGAGATGAGCGGTGATGCAGCGAAGTGGAGGTCTGGAGCTATGCGTACCTCGGGGACAGGTTGTTGCTGCACCTGGCTTCCTTGATGCGACCCAAGACCAAGACAAGATGACGCTGCCGTTCGTTTTCGAGCCATTGCAGCATGTCGTCCTCCAGCTTGTAGTTGTGAGCTGGAATGAGTGGATTCGGGGGAATGATGGAGGTGACAGTGCCGGGGGGGTGCGACGATTGACGTGCGGGCTTCAGTTGGTCGTGGACATGCGACCAGACCGCGTCGAGGCGCAACTCATGCAGCTGCGTGCGCAATTCATCGGCGTGGTGCTTGCTACTGCCCGTGGTTAGTGGACGCCGACGTGAGATGAAAGGTGGTGGTCGTACGAGCCGCACTTGACGACATCTGACACATAGCACTCGAGCGCCGGTCGCAAGAAGGCGCTTGTGAGGATGTGTTGGACCGTGGGGCGATGCGTCGGGTTCACTGCCAAGAGGTCGTCCTGGAGCTGGCGAAGGTGTGGGCTGTACTTTCGGTCGAGAGGCGTGTAGTCGCCTGTGCAGATCTTCTTGACGAGGGCGGGGGTTGTCTTGGCCTCAAATGGAAAGTGCAAAGTGCACATTTCATACAGCACGCACCCGACGGCCCACACATCCGATGCATACGAGTACGTCCCATCGCCGTCGCAGAGCTCGGGGGACATGAAGTAAGGCGTGCCGACAGTCGTGTGGGCGAGGTCGTCTTGATCGAGCTCCTGCCACATTCATTGACCAGTACGCACGTTGGCGGTTCGCATGACAGCGTTATCCACACAACTACGTACTCGAGACATGCCGAGGTCCCCGAGGACCAAGTGGCCGTCGTGCGAGATGAAAATGTTGTGGCTCTTGATATCCCTGAGCATGGATTATGAGCAAAGGTAGCAGCGTCACCGCGCTCGGGCACGTTTGCGGCGGGACGACCGTTGGTGTACCTGTGCATGATTCGACGATGGTGCATGGAGTGGAGCCCGAGGCAGATCTGGACGAGCCAGAGGCACACAGTGGCCTCCGATTCGAGGCGGCGTTTGCCTTGGAGGGTCGCATGTAAGTCGCCTGGTGCACTCCACTCATGCATCAGGTCTGGCTCGTGCAGCGATTGCTGGACGGCGTACCTCCCGAGCAGTACTCCATCACGATGAACAAGTGTCGATGGTTCCTCGACTCGAACGAGTCAAGGTACACAATTAGGTTGGGATGGCGCAGCCGCTTCATAAGTTGTGCTTCGTTTGCGCCCGACTTGCCGCGCTTTGCCTTGAGCGACGTCGGGGCGATCGGAATATCCTTGATACACACGAGGTTCCCACCTTCCCGCTTCTCCCGCATGAGGTACACATTTCCGAACGACCCTTCGCCGAGTTGTCGAATCCGCGTGTACTGGTCCATGCGTGTGTCTGCCTCAATCAACGGAATGGCCACGCGGGTCGGCGCGGCATGCGCTGCGACACCGCCACCTCACACCCACGAGATAGTCGCGTTCTAAAGTTAGATTTCGACTACTACGCCGGGGCATCACTTGGACAATTTGTCGATGCACCGCGCGCCTTGCTCGTCGTACTCTTTCTTGGAAATCCAAAACGAATCTTCGTTCTTCATGAGGTCGGCCAGCACCGACCCGCCGAGGAAAACCAAGTGCTTGCGGCGAGGTGGGTCGTTTATGCGCAGACGAAACTTGCTCAAGCGAGTTTTGTCCCCCTTGAGCACGTCGGCGCAGTACCTGTCCTTGATGTCTTTCTCCAAACGGCTCGGGAGACCGGGGTACATGGACGACCCGCCGCTCAACACAATGTTTTTGTAAAATTCCGTGCGAAGGTCGATGTCGGCCTTCTGGCACATCTCAAACAGCATGTCGCTGAGTCCGAGCCCTTCGACGCCGATCAAGTGCGGCTGGAAGAGGGCTTCCGCAGCCTACAACGTAATGAAGCACTCAACTTGCCGTGTTCCGCGGGGACGTACCTCGAAGCGTTCGCGGCCGAGTTTGATCACACGGCCATCGGGCAGCTCGTACGTTTCCTCCAACACTGTCGTTTCCAGAGCCAACCGACGCTCCACCACCGGATCCAACGCCGTGTAGCAGTGGCGTTCCTTGATCTGTCGAACGGTCTCGAAATCGGCCGTCCGGTTGAAAGCATATCCACGCAACAAGAGCAGCTTGATTAGGTATTGCGTGATGTGCCGCCCCGCGACGTCCAGGCGTCGAATGAGATGCTGGGGCACGAACCCTTCGTACACAGGCACGACGTGCGATACGCCGTCACCGCTGTCGATCACGACACCCGTGCGCATGCCTTGCGCATACAGCGTCAGCATCGCCTGGATCGAGATGTGCGTGCCGTCGAAGCCGTACTTTTCAAACATGATTTCGACCAACTTTTCACGATTGGCCTTGGGGTTGAGCGGGGGTTCCGTGAGCAAGATGCGCATTTCCTTGGGGTTCACTTGCAGTCGCTCGTGGAACGTGTAGTCCCACAACTTCTCCATATCTTCCCAATTCTTCACAATGCCATTCTCGACAGGATAGCTGATCTGCAGGTTGCTTCGCACGTATGCCGCTTCGTCCCCACACATGACGTCTTTCAGAATTACATCGCTGTTGATTGCTTCCTCTGCGCGCAAGATCGGCCGCCCTACCAAGGACGGAAACACGTGCCGAGGAAAGTTCTCCGCGGCAAACCCGCACTTGACAAACTACAAGACAACCGCACCATGCTCAGCAAGCCGAGCCGTCCGCTCGTCCACCATCACATCACACTTACACCAGTCCCATTGTCGCACACGACGATCTTGTTCGCAGCCACCATCGTCCTCCGCCGCCCTGTGTTGGCCACTTCACCGACGCAGGGACACTAGATTTGACAAACTGGGGTTGGGCGGATGGACTCGATTAAGTGCGACCAAGACAAGCGAACTTTGTACGACACTGCCTCGCATTTAAACAAGGCAACGCTTTCCGAGCGAACCGCAGCAGCAAGGGGCGTCAGGCGCTCCACGCGGCTCCGGTCGCGCCATGGACCTTCTGGGTGATCTTGTACAGGTGAATATTGCCTTCTTGCAACAGCAGCTCGTGCGCCAAGAAGTCGTGACTGAACGTGTGGAAGTCTGCCAGTGCAGCGTTGTCGCCTCGCTCCTCGTAGGTCAAATAGCACACCTGTCACACGACGTCAGACGCCGATGGTTGATGGCTCCTGACGTACGGTCGACGCATTGCCCAGGTCGCGAATGCTTCGAGCCAAATTCCGCCACGATTCTGTGCCGTAGATGGGGTTTATACCTGTCGGAACACCTTGGATGAGCTGGTGGTGTGCAGGAGGAACATACAATCCGACACCAATATATACTGGAACGGAGCGTTGTCGACCCACAATGTTTCATAGGACGGCGATCCCCACGTGAATTCCACTGCACGGACGTGACCACGCCCTGATGTGGCGGTCGTGTTTTGAGAAATGTTCATCTTCAGCAGGTCGACGATTTCGGCTTGGTCGGTCACCACCACTTGCGCCGCGCCGAGGTCTCGTGCAACCAGGCCAACAAGTCCACTGCAGACAACTTAGGATCCCATCAAGGTAGCATTGGATGGGGTGTGCATAGTACCATCCGCTGCCGAGTTCGACCACAGACGCTGGACTGCCACCAAGAAAGCGGCCTTCTTCATGCAGTCGCACAAGGTGGTTCGATAGGAAGATGCTGGCATTCCACACTCTTGACCCAGTCCACGCATCAGAGAAGAGCGCATCCAACCGATCGCTTCCCAGGACTTCCGACAGGTCGTAGCGCGTGTCGCCAACCGCGACGGCCGGCATGGTCGCGTTGATGTGCCGATTTCATTGGCTCGCCGCGGTGTCCAACGCGGGTTGAGACAATTGTTTAAACAAATATCCCAAACACGTTTTATTGTAATCACAAGCATGTTGGCATGCAATATCGCCAATGAGGCAAAAGGGATAGCATTTTTGAAGTCATGCTGCATGAACGAAGCTCAAGCGAGGACACAACTGTGCGAGCTGTTGTTCCTGAGAGTGCTCCTACACCTGACCGCTCGAACTGTTTTTTCGAGTCCCACGTTGAAATTACAGTTTTAACGTGGGTGTCAACATAAGGTCATATTGATAAAACGTATTTCAGAGGAGAGGGTGCGAACGGGATTGTCAAACACGTCCATGAAAGGGCAGTGCTTTCGTGGACACAAGTCCAGGGCACAGCGGCCGCGGCAAGCATTGCTCAAGCCATGGCTTGTGCGTCATTAGACGAACTTCTCGCCAAGATGCGTGGCGGGGAAGCCGGGGAGGAGAAAAGGCCAGTCTCGTCGAGCTCCACGTCAAGCCGCTTGCCACCAAGAGGAACATACATGGACGTCCAAGAACTCGACGACGACGACTGGGAAGGCGACAACTCGGACGCTATTGTATACATTGCGCCGAAACAGTTCGCTACTTGCCATGTCTCGACGACACATGCCAAGATCGTCTCGAGCAAGGGGTCCACAACAACGAACGATATCAAGGCATACATCGACCACGCCATTAGTTTGAAACGAAAAGCCCTCGATATGGAAAAGTCAAGTGCTGCGTACCGAGACGCGTTGGACCTCTATACAGAGGCGGGGTGCATATTTCTGCGAGCTGGGCGGGCGTCACCACCTGGTTTCCTGCAGAATGCGCTGAAGATGGAGGCTTTCTCGTTGCTGATACAAGCCGAACGATTAGAGCGATGGAGCAACCTCCTCATGCGTGGTTCTTGCCCCGGGAGTGCCTTGAATTGTGACTCGCACGTCGCTAGCCCAAGGTGCCTACGTACAAGATTCCTGTCGTGAAGTCCACTTGCACAGCAGACGTCGAGACCCAGGGCAACCACTGCGAGGCCATAGAGACAACCGTCCCGCCTCCATGTATCATTTCGTAATCTGACATCGTCCCGTCTGCCTCAATCGGTTTGTTGAGCGACCTCGCTGGTCGTCGCTGCGTTCTTTTCCTCCTCCTTGATGGATCCTCGGAAATCTAAAATCTGGCCAATCACAACTCGGGACTTGGACGGCGTGAGATGTAATTGGCTGAATTTCGAATTTCCGATTTCCATCATCCACAGGGGTGTCCAACGTGCGTAGTTCGTCGGGGATCCGTCGGTGCCATGCCGTCCACGTTGGAGGAGCAGTTGGCCAAATTGCGCGCAGGCCGCGCTCCATCCGCACCTGCGCGTTCACAATTACCCACTGCGTCCTACATGGCCATTCCAAGTCATGATGAGATATGCGAAGATGATTGGGAGGAGGAGGACACGGTCGCCCCACCTCCGACAACGTCGACCATCCCAGTGGCACCGCCGGCTTGTGTGGTCAAATCGCCATTATCTCCAACGCAGACCGTGCATCTGCCCTCCCAAATGAACCAGGGTCGACGGAATGATACTGCTTGCCAACAGCAGTTGTATCAACGCGCTATCGAAATCACCAAATCCGCAATGGCGAAAGAACGAGGTCGAGACTTTGCGGCAGCAGTGAACGAGTACGCTGACGCCGGTGGGATTTTCACCGAGATCGGACGAAATGAACTCGATGCTGCCACCCAGCGAACGTTGAAGAAGAAGGCATTTACATTGCTGCAACGGGCAGAAGCGCTGGCAGCATGGCTTGATTCGCGAGAGGCTCCGTCGACAGCTTCCATGGCTTTAGAAGCATCCACGGCCACCGCGATCCCCGATTCTACCGCGGATACGGAAGTACAAAAGACTGAAAAGCATATTGAAGAGATGAAGCAGGAACTACAACAGCTCAAGTACTCTACCCAGATCATGCAGGCCGACGACACGAGTGGCTTGAACGATGCGACCAAGCCTTCCGAAGAGTCGGAGTTGGACTCGTTGAAGCGCGCTGTCGTGAACGAGATCCATGGACTGCTCAAACTGCCCGAGATTGACTCGTTCCGCAAGTTTGTGCCGTTGGGGTCGACCACTGCCGAGAAGGCCCAGTACGCGCAAGAGTTGAAAGCGCAAGTTGAGCACCTGCAAAAGGAGCTGCAGTATGAAAAAGCCTCGCACTTGCTTGCGTCGGTCATGCGCAAGCACAAATACTCGAAACTGGCGACCGACTTGGCTGAGCAGCAGCGCCTTCAAGTCGAAGTTGAGCAGCTCCGACACGAGCTCCAGGTGCACCAAGCCACGCTGGAAGCCACCAAGCAAAGCATCGTCCTCATTGCGCAAGAGAAGCTGCGCGTCGAAGCAGAGTCTGCCCAGCAAGTCCAGTCCCTGCAGAACGAGCTCAACTCGTTGTCATCGTCAGGTCGCCCAAGCCGCGCCAACCGCACGAGAGAGTCGCGGTTGCAGTGGTTCCAAGGCCCTCGGGGACTAACCAAGAAGGAGACTGAATCGACCGACGACTCAATTCGACGCCGGTCGGAACCGTCGGTCGGATCTCCGCGCCATCAACTTTCCGACAACGAAGGCGACGCGGTCTCGGTGTGGCTTTAACATTGTTTTATTTAAACCATTTTATCTGCTTTTGGTGACTTATGCGGCTAATTCGGCCAACGAGTCGACCAGCCCTTGGAGATGGCCCGTGTACATGCCGAACGCCATGCCGTACATTCCATCGCCGGGCTGTGAGAGGTGCTGCGACCGCCGCACCCACGTTGGAGTAGAGTTGCCGCAGCCCGACTCGACACGTCCCAGCTCCACGACGAGTCCAGTAGCAAGGGCCTCATTCCACGCCCGCGTCGGTCCATCCGTCCAAAACGAGTTGGACACGCCGGCAACGTCGTCCATCGCGACAATGGTGCCAGCACGGGCAAGTCGTCGGCAATTTTGTAAGTCCGCCGCCGCCACCTCGTAACTGTGACCTCCGTCGATAAAGACAAAGTCAAATGGAGTTTCGTCACCAATGTTATGAGGGAAGACTGGAATCGTAGTCGTGGAATCACCGGGAATGAGGCGATGGCGGCCAGGAAACACTACGTCCAAGAACGCTGCTGCTTCAACACATATGGGTGTTCAGCCAAGTCGAAGCTCGTGATGTGGACATTCGGATTCGCACGAAGCAAGGTCATGGTCGAGTGGCCGGCGTTGAAACCGATTTGAAGCGCGCGACGAATTGCCGAGTCGGCGATGAGAGAGGACAAAATTTGAACCGACACAGGGAAGAGCGACGTATGTCCTTCAAATGTGTCAAACCCTCGGCAATTCAGGTACGATGCAAGTGCATGAACGTCAGAGAGCTTGGCTTGAGCTTGCTGAGCTACGAGAGCGGGACAGTTCGATTGATACACGTGCAGGGCACCACAGAACGCGGTGGCTTCAGCTATAGGTTTCTGCCATGTTGGCGCAAACACGTGGCGTTGTCCATCCACTTCAATCTCAACGGTAGCTTCGAGTCCTTGTAGACATGTTCCATGGTCTAGGCCCTCCAGTCCTTTGATCGACGTACTGGTAGTTTGCTGCACCAGCACCGCAGCCAGCAACAGTGTGCTGCGGCCGTAGGTTAACATCCAGCCCATCCAAGTCATGTTGCGAACTTTATCTTTCTCCGGTTGATTGCTTATCCGGATAACAGGGAATGATTACACGTCTCAAGTGGCCATCACTGAACCTCCGCAGTGTGTTGCAACAACGTGTCCACGAGGTGCTTTGCCGATCCTGTGTAGAAGCCGAACGCGAGGCCGTCCATGCCGGCCGTGGTGGCGCCAGTGGAAGATGCACACCTGGATGTTTGCACCCAGGAAGCCTTGGCGCTGCCTCGCGACGACTCCATCCGGCCAAGTTCGACGACAATTCCAGACCTGACAGCTTCATCCCACGCTTGAGTAGGTCCTTTTGTCCACCACGATGCCGGAGTGCCTACAACATCGTCCATCACGACCAATGTTCCAGCTCGGGCCATTCGCATGCAGTTCCGAAGATCAGCCGCTGCCACGTCGTACGTGTGTCCGCCATCGATAAAGATGAAGTCGAACAGTGTCACACTCAGCTCAAAGGCAGCGGGGATTGTTTCCGACGAGTCGCCTGGAACGAGCTTGTGACGGCCAGGAAATACAGTGTCGAGGTATGCGGCCGCCTTGAGCGCGTAAGGATGCTCAACCACGTCATAGCTCGTGAGGTGCACTGATGGGTTGACAGACAGAATGGTCATTGCAGAATGACCAGCGTTGAAACCAATCTGCATCGCGCGGCGGATGGTGGAGGCGTCGGACACCAACGATCGCAATACTTGCTCCGACACTGGAAACATCGAAGTGTGTCCTTCGACGCTGTTATGTCCGCGGCAAACGAGGTAGGTCGATAGGGCATCCGTTGAAATGAGTTGCTTGTGCACTTCTTCCACGAGCAATGCACCACACCCGCGAACGTCCAACGTCTTGCAAAAGTTCGCAGCCTCGGCCTCTGGCGCAACATTCCAAGACAGAATGAACTCTCGGCTTTCGCCGTCTACAACGACATCAAGGGTAAAGCGTTGTCTTCTCATACATTCTTCATGCCCCTGGTCGTTGACTGCGTCGTGGAGTCCACCTCGGCACAGTCCCACCACCGCAAGTGCGATCACCGCCCGCATATTTCGCGATCTTTCATGAAATCCGGATAACAGGTTGTAGCATCCGGAGAAGTTGAGTATGCGCCATTTGACGGCAGAGGCTCAGACCGACAAAAGTTGCTGGCCGGTGGCAATGAGTCTAATCTCAATCGAATTACTGCCATGAAAGCCACCGCAATCGCAACTTCCCCGACTGTCCTAGATAGACTCAAATCTACGTTTTTTTTATCTGGTTAATTCTGTCAAATGAAATTGGTCGAATGTATTTCGAGGGTATCAATCCGAATTTGCAACCATACAGTCCGACCGTTTTCTATAGACGCTCCTCGAAATATTCGAGTTCGAGATGATGTAATGCGTTTCAGTTGCTGCAGTTTGATGTGGGATCCTTCTAAATAGGCATCCTTTAAGTCGCCATCGCCATTCGATGTGCAGAGCTTTCACAATCGACAATTTTCCACATTTGGGCTGACCGTTTCTATAGACGCACTTTGATTACACTCCCTACTTATCAATGCATTGACCTCGGCGCAGAATAACTTGTGCCATTCGTGTTG